AAGAAAGGGCTAGAGAGGCCCACAGTAGATCTCCATCTCACCCCCGCAAAAAAGTCTCCCTCCTCAGCCAAAATGGAGGAGAAGAGGGAGAGTGTCTGTGTATAGTTCCTCCATCACACAGCAAGGGGGAGCAGTCACAACTCTGCCCCCCCAGCTTCCTACTCCCACCTGGGGAATGTTTTGCATCGAGATGCTTAGATACAACAGCTAGAAAAAAACCCTACACAACCCCCTTATCCCACCCCCAACCCCACATCACGGCAAAAAAACACCTGGGTGTGTTCCTGAACAGGTAGGGGTAGGGAGGGAAGGGTGATATTAGCCCTTGATTCGAGTTCTGCAAGACGAGGTAGGGGATGAGTGTGTTGGGGTATCTCGGTGTGGGGGAGGGGGGGGAGGAAGGAGCAGGGGCCTCCTACATCTTGCGATGGCTCATTGGAGTCCCCACTCTTGACCCCCAAACAAAGGCATGGCACAGGAGTGGAGGTGCCAAGCCATGACTCCCTGATCCTGGAGAAAGGGGCACTCTATTCATTTTGGGGTGCATCACAGGAGACATCTATTTATGAGCAGGGAGGGTCAGGGGGAATGGCTTACGTGTCTCATCAGGAAGGAGCTGCAGGGCAGAGATTCCCAAGGTATGGGCCCCATGGCCTGCTTCAGGCTTGTGCTCAGGCCCTGTTGCTGCTCCAACAGGATACAGCTCCTCTTGAGGTCCTCCCCAGTCATTACACAGGGCACTGTCCTCAGCTCCTGGCATAAGGGGCAGGTGGGGGTCCCGTATTGGGGCCATTCTCTGCCCCCATTCCCCCCTCCATGGCCCATGGTGGGGGGCAGATGAGGCATATGAATTGAATATACTGAGCAGCAGCCCCTCAGTCACTGAGGCCAGGCCAGCAGCTGATGCAGCTAAGCTATGCACTGGAGCAGAGATCCAAGACTGCTTAGGACCACAGAGGGAAGACCCAGAGTAGGAAGGAGGGAGAGAGGTATTGGTTTGTGGGTTTGGTGGAATGGCACAGGCTGGGTCTGACTTTGTCTGGACAGGGATGGCCAGTCCCTGGGATGCAGCTGCTACTTTCTCCTGAGGAAGGGAAGAAGGAAGGAGGATGGGGCCTGTGGGGCTGACAGGGATTTGGGAGGAGCTGCCACATCCCTATGTCCTTGATATGGACAAAGACCTGATGCTGGCACATGAAGGGACTGAATGGTGGAGCCTGGAGCCCAGACAGTTGAAATGGAGGATCTGGGACTGTCCCTAGCAGTCATGGGCTAAGGATAGGCTGCCCCGCTGGGGGTACCTTGAGCTGGTTCAGGGGAAGCTCACCTTCACCCCAAGGGTTGGGGAGAGGGCAGGTTGAGGGCAAGGCCTAAAGGAGGATGCTGGTGCCTGGGCCTGGAGACAGAGTGAACAGGGATCAGGCCTCTCAATCTTGTAAGACCTTAGCCCAAGCAGGTGAGGGGTAGGGTTGGTTGGCGGACATTTGCTGGGGGTGGGCAACAACCATGCACTGTCGGTGCCTAAGGCAGGAGAATGGGCCTTTGTGCTGCAGGGCATGAGTGGAGCCCTGATATGGAGAGTCTAAGGCAAGTGGGGTGGGGGAAAAGGACAGTGAGAGTTCTCCTCCACCATGGTGGGGCATCCTGCCCTTTGATCTGCACAAGAGGGGCTCCAGGCAATTTTCCCTGCTCTTGTGACTTTCAAACGGAGGTCAAAGGACCCTCCAAGCCTCAATGTGATAGGTCAGTTCCTGTACCCCGGGGAATGATGGGGCTCATATCATGCCCAGCTGCTTTTGCCTTGCCCACTCCCCTACCCTCAGGGGTAGTTGTGGAGCAGAGCCCACATTCACCCCTGTATAGTCACAGCAAAACACCTTCACTGCTTAGCTAGCTCCTCAAGCCCCCTCCAATCACTTCCCCCAAATCTCAAGAGCACCAGCACTTCCTGGATGGGGCTGACAGGCCCATCTAGTCCAGCATCCTGTCTCCAACAAGGAGTGCTATGCACTCATCCCACGGAGTGGTTCAAGGCTCCCTCCCCTGCCCTGAGAGGGCAAACATGAAACCACATGGGCTTGACTTGGGGCTGGAGAACCTTTGTTCTCACAGCCCCAAGCTGACTGTTGCCCCCAGGCCTGGGAGGTCTCCAGCATAGGCTAAAAGTCATGCCTGCATTAGGGGAGTCCCATGGACTGATAGGGAACAGGAGTCTCCCTGAGGGGGGGAATAGAAACTGCCCCCTCTTATGAAGAGCAAGGCCCCGTACAATAATAAGCAGGTAGCCTGAGGCATAGAGCCCCTACCTCAGGGCCTTACTGGAAAGGCTTTGTAGATATGAACTGTATGAGTTGGGGATGGAGGAGAACATCAAGTGTAGTAGGAAATCCATGTATCTCCCTGCATCATGCCGCGCCTGGGAGACAGACAGCTCCCGTGAGTTAGCCTGAGTGTCAGCGGATTTAGTATTCTGACTTAGATGATTGTGATCAGGGAGCATTTCACACTTTGGTCCTGGGAAGCACCCAGTGTGACAGGGCCCCCTTCCTTTTGACTCTAGGCTTAGATAGTGCCCAGCATGATGGAGCCCTGACCCCTAGGCACTATCACTGTGCAAACCATGTCCCTGAGAGACTGGGCGGGAACAGGGGGTCCATTTTAACAGTGAACAGATGTTGAGCAAATAAGGGAGGAGGAGATGAAATCTAGGCTGAGACCCGCCAAAACTCTACTCAATAATGAGATTTACAAGCCTGTGTTCCAAGGGGCCTGGCCACCGGCCCACCAGGAAACAGAATGGGAGAAGGGAAAAAGCATGGGAAGGAACATGCCCCTGCAGTGGAGTGCCCACTGGCAGGGGCAGAGGTTGGAAGGAGCTGAGACCTGTTCAAACTACATTCACATGTACCGAGGGAGGAGGGGAGGCTGGTAGCTCCCCTGTGCCCCGAAGTGGCAGTGGAGTGGGACAGAAAGAAAAAGATCCAAAGCACTAGAAAAAAGTTAAACTAGATACCGATATATAAAGATATGTACAGCAGGATGGGGCTGGCATTGCCCCTTCCCACTCCCCCTCCCCCCTCACCAATGTGAGGGCAAAGAGGGAGATCCTGGAGGGATGGGAAGGAGGATGAAGATTAAAAACTAGCAGAGGGGTGGGTGCTGTCAGAAGAGGGTCATGGCAAGGTGGCCACATTCTCATTTCTGCAGCCCACATGTTGGCCAAACTCAACATAGAGGACAGAAAACTCCCCTCCATTCTGCTCCATCCCAGTCCCCCCACCTGCCCACCCCTGCAGTCTGATTTGGGGTGCAGGAGGAGTTGGAGGGGATGGTGTAATTCTGCTCCCCACATTGGGGCACCTGCTTCCTCCCACCCTGGTGGCAGGGGCCATCCGACCTGGTGGAGAGGAGTGGCGGTGCCATCCATGTTGATAGAGGTGTCGGTGACGCACCAGATGGCCAGGGGGTGCTGGGTAGGACATCACTGAACAGCACTCAGTCTCAGGTGCTGATGATATCACAAAGTGAACAAGGTCCATGGTAGTGACATCGTTAAAAAATGGAAAAGGTCCACAGTGCTGACATCATCAAAAGAGCAGAAGAGGCCCAAGGTGATGATGTCATCAAAGAATGGACATGGTCCACAGAGGTGACATCATCAGGAAGCAGATGAGGCCCACAGCAGTGACATCAAATATCGATAGTGCTGACGTTAAAAGGTCAGCAGGCCCCACAATGTTGACATCATCGATTGTTGACAAGGTCCACAGTGCTGGCATCTTCAGAAGTCAACAGGAGTGAGAGTCTTGACATCATTGTACATTGACATGGCTGCCAGCACTGACATCATCTGATGTTGACAAGGTCTGACAGTGCTTGACTTCATCAACTATTGACCAGGGTGACTGCTGTGACATCATTCCAGTGTCAACAATGCCCACAGTACAAACATCCTCAGTTCATGAAAAAGCCACAGGGTTGATGTCAGAATTGACAGTGGACACACTTGACATCGTGTCTAATCATCACACATGTCATGCTAGGTCAATACAGTCCACAGTGCTGACACCATCAGATGTTGATGGCGATTACATCATCAGTTGTCAAGAAGGCCCACAGTACTTTTGTCATCAGTCTTTGACACAGTCCATAGCACTGACATCATCAAATCTCATCGGTACCATCAACCAAGATTGAGAGCCCTCCTGGCAACTTCAAATGTTGGTCCACAGTGCTTACTTCATTGAAGATTAACAGGCCTGGTGCTCTTGACATCATCAAATATAGACAAGACCCACAGTGCTTACATCATAACAGGTGGACAGTACTGATATCAAAAGTCAACAAGCCAGATGGTCCTAATATCATCAAATGTTGACAAAAGCCACAGCACTGGAGTCATCAGATGTGGACAGGCCTGACTGCCTTGACATCATCAAATATCCATGAATCTCACAGTGCCTATATCATCAAATATCAACAGAACTACATCATCAGAAGTCGAAAGAGTCCTCACTGCTAACATCCTCAAACATGGACAGACCCAAAATAATCTTGACACCATGAAAAACTGACTGGGGCTTATGACCTAGGTGTGCTCAAATCGATCTTGTTGTCATCAAAAGTTGACAAAGCCCAAGGCACAGATGTCATCTGGCACAAACAAGCCTGATGCCATCATGATATCATCAAAATTAACAGGGCCCAAGGTGCTGCCATTATCAAACAGGTATACGCCCCAAACAACACTGACATCCTTGAATGTCAACAGGCCTACAGCACTGACATCATCAAAAGTGGACGCTATCAAAGGCTGATGAAAGCCTTGGTGTCATCCGGCTGGGCCAGCATACAGAAGGGAGGCCACTTTGTTAAAGAAAACAAGACAGAGGAAGATGGCTGGTGCCATAGAAAGGATGGGGGAAGAGGCAGAGCAGGAAAAGAAGGAAGAGAACTATGGCCTTGGAAAGTTGAATCCACCTGAGTTGTGGCAATCTGCCTCACACAGTGACCTCATTCTTGCTCCCAGTGCGAAGGTGCTGGCTTGGGTGGTGCCCAGGAATGAATTGGAGCTGCTCAATGGTGCTCTGGCGCTTGGCACCAAAGCCCTGGCGCCGGTTGGCTGTGTGGTTGCTGCCTACATCCCAGGTAGTCTTGGGGGAATTGTTGGAGGTTGGATGGGAGTTCATTTTGATCATCTGGTGCCGGTCAAGCATGGGTGTGCTGCTGGCGCAGACATTTGTCTGGGACAGGGCTTTTTGGTGGCCCAACCGCAGCTCCTGGAAGGGCCCGGTCTGCTGATGGAGACGCTCAGGGGAAAGCAGGGGTTCTTGGGAGTGGAGGGCCTCACGGGAGAGCAGGCGCTCGTGGGAGATGACACGCTCACGGGGGATGGTGTAGTCATAGTGTGTAGGGCGGTAGCTGTCTGACAGGATATGCTCTTGTGACATGACACGTCGCGGGTTGGGGCACTTCTCTGTATAGTCCTCTCGGGCATAGTTCATCTTCATGGCATGTAGCGGTAGGGTCCCACGGGTCAGTTCCGCTAGGTGCCTCCGCTTCAAGTAGAAGTCGTCCATGTCCTTCTCAGCTGTGGTGGGAAGGAGGAAGAGGAGGAGAGGGGGAAAGAGATTGTGATAGATGGGGGCAGAGATGGAGGGAAGGGACCAAGGTGGGAAGAAGGGACAGCGAAGGTAAAGGACAAACAGGACAATGTCTCCCTTGCAAACACATTCTCTTCCCAACATGCTTCATAAAAAGAGCCAAACAGACCCTGCCCTGGGGCTGGTGCCCCCTGGAGGGAAAGGACCCTGTCCTACCACAACCCTTGCTCCAGCCAGTGCCTCTCCTGGGACTGGATCACAGCCAGATCCTCCAAAGGCGACAGACCCCTGCCACTGCAAATTAGCTTACCCAGGCGCTTGAGCGAGGAGTAGCGGTTGAGCTCTGACTTGACTGCTGTCTCATAGGATGGGGGCAGGTGTGAGAGATTGTGGAAGGAACGTGAGCAGGTGAGCGAGCTATACTTCATGGAGGGCGTTGGCGTGGGAGTTGCCCGCCAGTCTGCAGTGGGGAGAGAAAGAGAGAGAGAGAGAAGCCCCAGGGTCAGTGCCTGAGTCCCCATCTTGCATGTTTCCTTTTCTATTCCCTGCTTAATGATCCCAAGCACCCCGGGAGGAGTAGCAGTGAATTACCATTCCCTCTTCCATAACAGGTTTCCCCCTAATGTGCTGGGGTCACAGAGCAGGGGGAAGACTGAACCACTTGCCCCACAGGAGCCGGTGTATTCCCTCATGGATCTATACCCCCCAGGGCAGCAGGGCACAGGGCAGGGGCCCTTCACCTACCCAAGGTGGCAGCATGATGCTTGGGGCTACCCATGTTGACATGGATGTAGTTGTGGTGCAGGTTATCTGAAAGACAAGACATAGCACTTTCACTTATATAAGGGGATAAACCCATGCCTCCATCCCGACTTCCCACATTCACCATCTTGGCCACTCCCTGGACCCCTATCCCACCCCTTCCACCCTTCCTCTGCCCACTGCTGCCCCAAACCAGAGCACTTGTGTGGCCCCAAATCCCTCTTCCCAGTCTCAATTTTTCTCCTCTTTGCTGGTCAGGTTGGAAGGAGGTTCTATGCTGAACAGATAGACAGGCAGTAGATCTGATGTGGGGAGTCTCCTGCTTCCTCCACCTCCTTTCCTGGTTTTGCCATTTTTTTCCTGGTCCCTAAATGCACTGGATTTTGCCCATCCACTGGATTTTGTTTAGGGATGGTCCTGTTGCAGTTGCCCCACTAACTGAGAGCCCTGTCCTGGCCTGTGGTGAGGGGCAGCAATAAAATAGACACCATGGTCATGGTAAGGGATTCTTCCAGGATAATAACCCCCTTTCCCCAGGGTTTCCAATGGCAACTTGGGCAACCAATTCCATTGCATGGCATTTATGCCAACACAGCCTTGCTCCAGGACTCAAGGGGGGCCTCCAGGTTCATGCCTAGTGTCTCAGGACCCACAGAGGGTTGAGGGTGGCCAGAAGACTCCCATACTGCAGTCTCCAGAAGTCCCACAAAGCAAAAACAGATGCAAGAGACATGGGGGAGGTTTAGAACATCCAGGGAGGACAGTAGGGAGAGAACAAATGGATGTGTAGGTGTGAGGGCAGGGGTAGCTCTGGTTGGCTGGACAGAGAGGTGTGACAATGCAGGGGTGGGAAGGTGGATAATGTAGAGGGACAGATGGATGGGCAAAGAAGGATATTGCGCTATACCAAACCTGCCACACCCCCAGCTTCCACCAGGTGTCAGTGTGGAGCCATGTGAGCCCACCAGCTTTTCAGCCCAGAGCAGGGTACCTTCTTGCTGGGTCTTGGACGGGGAATATGGAGGTGCTGACACTGAAGCCAGGCCAGGGGGCAGAGAGTTGTCCCCAAGCAGGAAATGTACACCAGCTCCCAGGGTGGAGGAGAGTGCTCAGCATGAACTAAAGGATATGGGTGCAGAGCATCTGGATTCTAGCACTGCCCTAGAAGGGGATTGGGGTTTGGTGGTGTAAAGCTGGGAGGCTGGGAGTCAGGACTCCTGGGTTCCATCCTGGCTCCAGGAGGGGTATGAGGGATGCTGAGATGACTGATGAAACAATCGATTATGATCAGTCAGCTCCAAATAACATTTTTTCCCCAGAACAGGGACAGCTGAGGAGTCCAGGAGCTGCTGGGGGAAGAGCTGAGGCAGAGGCAGCAGATCAGAGCAATTCAGCATTGTCCAGATCAGTTGTGGGCACCTCCCCCCACCCCGCATCCTGTATGGGGCGGCAAGGGTCTTAGGAGCAAGGATGCCTGGGTTCTATCCTGGCGAGGGAAGGGGAGTGGGGTCTGGTGGGTAAGAGCAGGGGCTGCAAGTTGGTCAGAATGCCTGGGTCCTATCCTCACACCATCTCCCATCTGGCCTCCTTCAAAGACCCTCATCAACACAATCTGCCTCCAAATGGATTCTGGTTCCCTTGGCAGGAGATGAAAGAGTTAATGCCTCAATGGCCCCCCCAGCACTGCCAGCCCTGCCACAAACATTCAACCATCACAAACACCAAGACAGCAAGAACATGTTGCCATGGCAAACAGGCGATTTCCCAGCATGCGCTGCAGCACTGCTCCTGCTCTTCAGACCAATGCTGCCAAGCAAGGCTAGAGCAAATGGGGAAGATCGGGGGCAGGGGGCGTGGCTGGCATGGCTAGGGGCCTTTCTTCTGGAGGGAGCACCACCCCTGATCCAGCCCCAAGAGTAGGCAACTGGCTAGTTTAGGGGGTCCGGATGGGGTAGGGCCTATCCCTTCCAGAGACTGCTGGCCCTGCTGATCCAGATGTGCCCTCATGCTGATTGATTCTAGGCAGAGAGCAGAGAGAACACAGGAGGGGAAATCATCCAGGTCTTTACACTATAGCCTTATTGCTGGGCACCAGAGTGATGCTCAGAAGTGCACACATATGTGTGCTCACACACCCTGCACATCCCCACCCAGCCCCTGAGCAACACTCACATACAGAGTGATTGTCATTCACATACACACACATACAGTGTCATTGTCATGTGCACACTTACATGCATACACAGTGACTGTCACATGTACGCGCACATACAGAGTAATTCACACACATGCATGCATGCATGCACACAGTGACTGCTGCTCGCTCTTCCATGCAACCTCCTCCAGTCTGATGTACTCAGTCATGCACAGTGTCTAATAAACACATGTACAGAACACAATGCTCTCTTACACACATCCAGAGTATGCAGTGCTCACACCAGCTCTTGCACACCTAGTGGCTGAAGGGTGCACACAGAAATCAATGCTCTCACATGCATAGATGCATACATGCACTATGTGATCTTTACATGCACACACTTCGGTGCTGTCACACACACACACACATACACATTAGTGTTGTCACGCATACCCAGGTTGCAGGCTCAGACACACAGTGTCTGATGCCCTCTCCACACACACATATACAGCATCTTATGCTTTTTACACACTCAGCTTGGTGTTCTGTCACACACACAGTACCCACAGTTTACACATGCATAAACACACAAAGTGTGTAGACTGATTAAATTTTGTGTGTGGAAACCACACACACACACTTTAACGCTGCCTCCCACATATGCACAGAGCATGTGATACAAAAACATACATTGGAGCTATCATATCCATTTGCAAATACACATACCCATGAACACCCATGCATATATAAATACAGTACAGCATCTGATGCTGTCTTTATCTTGCTTATGCATAGTATTTAATGCTCCATCACACACATATAGACACATACTAGAGCTATCATTACCACACTCAAATACAGGTGAGTGTGCACGCATGTGCACACACACAGAGAGTATCTGATGCTGTTTCGTACACCCAGCCTGATGCTGTGTTCCACACAGCCACTAAAGATCACACTCACAGAAGATGATGCTCTTGTATACATGCCCAGTGTGGTAATGCTCACACCCCCATGAAGCAGCTGATGCTCACAAATATACACATGCAGTACAAACTCAGGTGGATGCTCCCAGTCACACACACACAGATCACAGGTCAGACAGACATGAAGACACAGGGCCTTTAATCTCACACACAGAATTTAAACCCCTCATTCTCCCATACAGGGCATGCAGCTCTCACACACCATGCACAGCCACACAACATCTGATGAGTGCATACCTTTGGTGGCTAATAAGCTCTTCCTTAAGGGCAATTCTACATAGCTAGCCACAGGCTTGGCACGCATCTGACAGTCACACACTTGAACACAGGTAGATAGAGTCTCTCTTTCCCTTACACACACACACATGCACGTGCATGTACATCTGCTGGTCAGCCCCTATTTGATGCACAAGCACACAGTGCATGGAGAAGGGCAGAGCAGTAGGGTGGGGTGTGGCCAGCCAGGAAGGAGGCCCAGGGATCAGGGGTGCACAATGGGTTAACAGTCTGAGGGAAGAAGAAGGGGTTCTGGGAGAGTGGTCATGTGCCCCCCAGGATGCCTAAGCACCTGGTGTGTGTGCCTCCCCTAGCTAGGTGTCCTTGAGGAGGGCACAGCTGGTGTATATGGAGGGGTGGGGGTGGAGAGGCACTGGCATCTGAACAGCTGGAAAAGCCGCAGGGTGCTGCCAGGCAAGGGGAGGGGAGACGGGACATAAAATATCCAGAGCATACAGGCACATACACACCATGCATCTGACAAGAGAAGCACAACACACTACATACCTGACAACACACAGCTCTGCCCACACACACAGGAGTCCATTACCTTTTAAGTACATAAATGTCAAAATTTCAGCTATCTAAGTGGTGTTTCTAACACTCACAAGCAGCTTCTATTACCCATACAGTGTGGTTGTGGGCAGGCAAGTACACAATTATGCACACATGTACCTGAGTGTAAGTCCTGGGAAGGAGGGGAAGCCCTTTCACATTCTAGCCCCAATAACTAAGTGGCCTTGATACTTACCGAAGAAGCAGAAAGTCCAGGTTCCAGACCCCTCCCCTCCACTCAGAGCGGGTTTGAACGTGTAACTTGCAGACCTGCACAGGTCTGACACTATACAGCTCTGGTCAGCACTCTTTTGGAAGTTGGGCCCCTGCCCCTTGCATTTAATATTTCCTGGGTAAACAGAGGAAGGGCAGTGCAGTGGGAATGAGTGCCCAGACTGCCAGGATCTCCTCCTTCCATGAAAAAAGCTACTTCATGGAGCTGCGCACCTTCTGACTTGCTCTCTTCCTCCTGGCCCCACATATCTACCTCTCATAACTGCCCAGGTGGCCAGCTTCAATAGCAGTGAATAGGGGGTCTATCTAACACCTGACTTGGGGTGTCGTGGTCAGACTGTGTGTTGGAAAGTCCAAGAAACTCAGGTTTGAGCCTCTTTGAGTGAGAAGGGCCTAGGACCTGGGTCTCCTGTTTCCTGGAGAAATATCTGAAGCAGAGGACTATTGGGGCCAGGACCGTCCCAGGGGAGGGGTTGTGAATTGGGGTGACTGCCCCGGGCTCTGTGGTTTGGGGGGCTCCGTGGAACTGGGCCAGCTTCACATCCAGCCAGTCACCACCCCCACTGCCACATCTGGGCACCGCACCCTGCCACGGTCATCTCTGACTGGGGCCATAACACAGGAGACTTCCATATCCTCCTCTGGTGTTTCACTAGGTTTTTACTAGGCAGAATTTTACAACTCACATGTACCCAGTCTACACATGTACCTGCCCAGCTGGCGTGCAGCCTACTGCACCTATGCAGTGGATGCTTTCAGGTCCACACTGCACAGGTGGGTAGGATCCAAACTGTGCATCAGGGTCAAATGTGCCACTCACATAGCTGGAGATCTGCCAGCTGGGTTCAGAAAGGGGAACAGCATTTGATCCATACTGCACATGCACTGACACACCCAGACAAATCCCACAACATGCACCCCCCCTACACCTGACCTACGGCCATAACACACCCCCAGTAAACGTTATCTGCCCCCCACAATACATCACCCCCCCACCAAGATATACTCCCCTACCCCCTACTCTTCCTACCCACAGCCCCTTCCCCAGTACCGTGGTTGCTCTTGCAGGGCTTGACCGTGCTGTACAGGTTCTTGGGGGGCCGGGTCGGGCCGTTGTCCTGGACCCCTGTGTTGAGTGTCGTGCTGTTGCTGCGCTCAGACCGTGAGCTGGTCCCTGCCTGGTGCCTGAGGATGTCCACCAGCGCCCTGGGAGCACAGGCAGTGTGTGAGGGACCCCTGCCTGGACCGCAGCAAAGCCAGGGAGTGCTCCAATCCTACCTGGCTGGCCTGCCCTGAGCTCCCCTTGCAAATTGTACTCCCAACTTCCTCTGAATACCATCCCACCCATCCCAGGTCCCCCTGATACCCCCACCCCCAACCTCACTCCTAGCCTCTCCTGATACTCCACTTTCATCCCCTTGCCACATTTGACCCCTCTTTTTCCCCAAGTCTCCTTTGGCCTCTCTCCCACCCAGTCACACCCCAAGCCCACTCTGACCCCCCATCCCTCAACCCCCCCACCGCAATCCCCAACCCCACCACCCTGCACTTACCTGGGCACATTGATCTCCCGTCCACGGGGCCTGCGGGATGCTTTGCTGAAGGCCACCTTGATGCCCACGCCCACAGCCAGGGTGAAGCTGATGACACCACAGATGACATAGACGGTGCTGTTGGCTGGGAACCGGTGGGGGCGCAGGTTGCCAGGGTCCCCCCAGCCAGGGCTGACTGTGGTGGAGGCCTGGGTATGGGCCCAGAAGGGTGTTTCGATGTTGGTGCAATGGGCTTGCTCTAGGCGCTGTGTGCGGTGCTCACAGCAGAAGCGATAGTGGCAGGTGCCACAACAGTACAGAAAGCCTCCCGTGGTGCAGTTGAAAGCAGCATCATACTGCCCCATCACATCATAGTAGCCCTGGCACGTTTCAGCTGTCCGGCCCCCTGCACTCGACCCTGCTGCCCCCACACCTGTGCCATTCGCCCCCACCAGGCGCCGCAGGTGGGCCAGCAGGCTGGGCAGGCTCCGGCTGTGGTTGGAGGGGCGGGGGGCTTGCACCACAGCCAGCGCTGGCCAGGAGCTCAGAACGTCCAGCACCGTCCACAGCAGCACTGTGAACATGTGGTACATGGTGTAGGCAGGGTGGGCAGGGGAAGGGGTGTGTAGGAGTCCCAGACAGCACAGGGTGGGGAGCTGGCACAGGGAGGACAGAGAAGCACTTGGGAGGTGGTCTGGGGTGTGTGTGAAGGGAGCAGTCCAAGAGGGACCCTTAAGGCAGCATTGAGATCATGGGCCTGGCAGGGCTGGGGGACAGGGAGGTGCAGCGGCTCTTGGCCTCAGGAGACAACTTGTTGGTTAGGTTATAAAAAAGCGCTGGTCAGTAGAAAAGAAAAGAAAGAGACCTGGGGAAAGAGAGAGAAAGGGCACAGATGAAAAGGCCCAGAGGACTGGACTACCCCAGTGCCCCAAACTTGCCTGTAACAGTTCAGACTCCTGAAGTGCATCTTGGAAAGGCAGGAGAAGAGAAGCTGGGCACTAGGACAACCCTCCCCACAGCACCCATAGGGGATAATGGAGACCCAAAACTGAGGCAGAGGGCTACCTGAAGACCCCAGGTTGCATGTCCCCAACTCAAGGACATCACTGCACTCCCTCTGTTAGATCCGCAGCCCCCTCAACCCTAGCATGGAGAAACTGCTGCCCCCCTGCTACAGTCTAGCCTCCCACAAACTCCAGTATTGCCACACGCCTTCACCCCCAGCTAGAGTCCGGCTTCCCAGCTATAGCCAGGCCTCACTGAACCACACATCCGTAGCCCCTCTGCTGTAGGCCAGGCATCTGAAACCCAGTGCTGAAATAGGTCTGTACCCCTCTGCCAGAGCCCTGTCCACTGAACTCAATGTTAGGACACACTTGCACCCACTCTGCAACACTGCAGTGCCACCTCCCTCCCCCCACCTCTCCCCCCAGGGCTGACTTCTTTCAGCACTCCCACTGAAAGAGGTCAGTTCCCCTGAACCCAGTGTTCAGAAACCACTGCGACCCCTTACACTGGAGCTCAGCCCCCCTCAACCCTCAGAGCTGAGACATGCCTGAGCCCTCTCTTTTGCAGTCACCTATAGCCCAGGCCCCTCAGCCCAAGCAGTGAGACACCACTGTACCCCTCTACTGTATTCCAGCCCCAAAACCCTAATGCTGAGACACCACGGCACGCTTCTGACAACGCGCAGCCTCCTAAACCTCAGCCCTAAGATACCCCTCTATCCATCAGCTCTAGCCTCAACCCCAGCAATGAGACCAAAGTGCTCCCCCTCAGCTGCAGCACTGTTCCCCTGACCCCAGCTCTGAGACACCACTGCACCCCCTTTGCTAGAGATCACCTTCCCCACCTCAGTGTTAAGGCATGTCTGTGCCCCTTCTGATGGCACCCCTCTGTGAGTGGGTACCAGTACCACCTTAAGTTGAGGTGCAGCCTGTATGATCCTTGCTCAGTCCAGGCCTCTCTAGCTTCCCCACCTAACTTGTCTGACATGCCGTGTTTCCTCAGCAACTGGGTTGGTGGGAGAGGGTTTTGCCCCAAGGGATACAGTACATCCACCAGCTGAGGCTCAGCAGTGTCTCGTTGAATATGTAGTCACCCCACACTTAACAATGTTAAGTGTGGATCAAGGATCCACCATCAGGCCTCATGCGCCCTGGCCTCTCTGCAGGTCCACTGCTCACCTGGGCTTCTCCCAGCCTAAGCCCTTCCTTAGGCCTAGTTGTGGTCCTTCTACTGGGCTCTCAATAGTCCTGCCCTTTCTCCAGGCAAATCCATCTTAACTGGGCTCCTCCCTACTTTGGTCCTTCCCCAGGCCTATTCACAGTCTCTGTACCCTAGGTCTTGCCTCCTCCAGCAGGAGGTCTTTTCCTTCCCCCTGCCAGAGCTAAGGTGAGATGAGAACAATGTCCTGCAAACATCATCAGTGCACCAATTTGTCTGGAAAGAAAACATGGGAAGTCATTCTCAGTCTCCCCTCAGCATGCCTGGGCACTGCTGCACCCTTGGGCAGCCGTGGCCCATAAGCCAGTGCTGGTGGCTGTGCTCCCACTATAGATGGCAGCAGCAGCTGGGTCAGCAGCATACCAGCTGTTATTTTTGTGTCCCAGTTGCCTTCCCCATACCTCCACCCCAAGTGACACCACTGACTCTGGACTCCATCTCCTGGGGGTCCTTCAGAGCCCAAGCCCTACTCATCATCTCAAAGTGTTGCAAGTCCTGATCATTTAGACAGCCCTTCAGCAACTGGATTAAGTTCTGGGGCATTGTCCAGGGAGCTTGTTCTTTTCCAGATAATTTTGTTTTAATATTTCTATCAAGTTTTTTAAGTTATTGTAAGCTTCTCTGAGCCTCTTTTAGAGAGGGCAGCATATCAATCCAATAACTATAAAATACAATTCTGCTCTTCCACTGTTGTCTGCCTTTCTCCTATCCCTGCTAGGACAGGGCCTTCCAGCCTGAGTCATTCCTCTGAAAGGGCTTTTCCCTCTCTTCCCTTCCTTCTTCATAATGGGGAACAAGGGGGGGTGCAATTACATATCTCAGCCCCCTTTTCTTCCTACCTGGGGGGCTGTTCTCTTAAACATCCCTTCATTAATTAGTTCTTCAGGAAAAAAAAATCAGCCTCTGCATGTTGGTTTCCTGGTCACTGTTCTATGGAGAAGTGACACAGTTGCAGACCTCCTAAGTACTAGCTTGTCAGCCTTGCATTGTCCACCTTCATCAGTTGTAACCAATTTGGTGGGGCATAGTCTGTGATTATTGTGAAGTGTTATCTCCCCAAGAGATAATAGTGCAGGGTTTCCACAATTCACTTGATGGGCAAACACTTCCTCTCAATCCTCAAATATGGCATGATCATATAGTTTCCTGCTGTTGTAAACTATGAGGTGCTCTTGGTCCCTTCTTTCTACAATAGGACCATCTTAGTAGCTATGTTGGAAGCACCAGTCAGACGTCTTCACCACTGGATAGCTATATAATGCTTTCTTCATTTGTTGGAAGACATGTTCACACTCGGCTGATCACCTAACTTTTATACGTGCTGTAGCTTTCATTAAGTCTAATAATAGGGTTGTAATCTCAGAAAACCACAGTACAAAGCACCTGTGATAGTTGATCAGTCCCAAGAATGCCCTCACCTGCTTCTTTGTCCTTGTCTGTGGGGCCTGAAGGTGGTCTATCAAGGTCCATATCTGCCTTTTTCCTACTTGGAACCCAAGGCAGCATATCTTTTCCTTCCATAGGACACATCTTCCTGGGATTGCCATCAATCCCGCTTTCCTCAAGTCCCAAAACACTACTTCTACAGCTCTCTGCAAATATGCTGTAATATTGTCAATATAAGCAGCCATGTATTCGTGATGGATTCTCGGTACATGGTCTATAAGTCTCCAGAAGGTTGGTCTAGCTCTGTGTAACCCAAAAGACATCCTTCTAAACTTAGGAAGGCCCCACAAAGTCACAAATGCTGTTTTTTCTTGAGATTGGCAGACCAGGGGTATCTGTCAATATCCCTTTACTTGATCTAAGGTGGATATGCACAGTGCCTAGCTGATTTCCTCCAGCATTTCATCCACTCAAAACCCTGGGTGGACCTTAAAGTGTACTATCCCATTCACCTTTCTGAAGCCAGTACATAGGCATATTGACCCATCTGGCTTTGGCCCCACTGGGACTTCACCTGACATTCAGATTCTGTTATTACTCCTATTTCTAGCATTTTCTTCATTTTAAACCCCATTTGTGCTTCTCGTCTCTTAGGAATGATCCTCCATCCCTCATATACCACTTATCCTGCTGGGATTTCTATGTTGTGCTGCTCTAGTTTGTTTGGCTTAGTACTGCGATAATCACATCAGAGCATTTTGTCGTCATATTTTGCTTGTTCTCATTGTAGGGCTGTCAGCTGCATCCCAAGTGTCATCAATAATGATCTGGGTTTTCCGTTTCCCATGGAAAAATGTGGATTTTCCCTTTTAATTGAGAAAAACACGGATTTCTCATTTTAATGAAGAAACATGTGGAGTTTCCACTTTTACAAAGAGCTCTCTGCAGGCAAGCAGAGTTCCAGTCTGCAAGGGGCTGGGGGGATTAGAAGGAGGGTGGTCAGGCAAGGGGCACCATGTGCACGTATATGCACATGGCTGCCAGGCAGCCTGGACAGCAGCTTCCACAGGTAAGTCTGGTGGAGAGGCAGGGTAGGGGAAGGAAGAAAGACTGAGATCCCCATAGGGAGGTAGGAAGGGAGTGAGTTTGGCAGGGCTGAGACCGGAGCTGTTGTCCAGCTGGGCGGTGCATGGGGCTTGGGGCCACAATTTGCAGTCGCAGGGCCTGAGCAGGGAGCAGGATGAGGCCATGGGTGGCTTGTTCGGGGGGTGCAGGGGTGGGGCTGGCTCCCTACCTCTGCATGCACTCCCAGGGGGGACACGTGCCCCCCAGATCTGTGCACGGGGCAGAGGCGGATACAAGCTGCCCACTGTGGACTCAGGCTCCCTGCTCTGCTGCCCTCTCACTGGGGCCTCCACAGCCCAGCAAGCAGGACCCGGCACGTAGGGCTGGGCAGCGAAGCTCCTTGCTGCTGTAAGCCCTGCACTGCCCTGGCAAGATGCGCCCTGCCTGCCCACTAGCAGCAGGATAGTAGAGCAAAATTTTGTTTCTTGCTGCTGCCAGGTGGGCAGGGGGCGCCTCACCATGGTGGCATGGGGCTCACAGTGGCAGCAACAAGCTTCTCTGCCCCGCCCCACTCTTTGGGTCTCGCTGCCTGGGCCACAGAGCACGAAGGGGAGGGCAGCAAGGCAGGGAGCCAAAGCGTGCAGTGGGCACCCCACAACCACACTCTCCCCCCCACCCCGTCCATGGCATCCATTCTGGCCATGCTGCCCGCAAGGCAGGGGAACCAGGCTCTGTGCTCAGCTCCCCATTTGGGCTGCAGCAGCTGCTGCCTCCTGTAGGTGGCAGCTGGGGCTTAGGTGCTGCTGCGGGGGGCAAGGCGCTGCAAACCTGGGTCCCTGGCCACATAGCTCTAGCAACTGGGGGCCCCCTCTGGCAGGGCTTGTGGGGCAGGGGGCTGTGGGGGGGGAGTAAGGGG